ACAAGTGCATTTAGAACGATATCCTGATAGATAAAACCAAACACCCTACAGTGATACCAAATGAAACAGAAATTTTGGATCACTCGTAAGCATTTCTTTGCTCTAAAACTTGAAGCATTGTAAATAGGTGGTCCACACAACCCTTCTGTCGCAGAGAATAAACAACCGGAAGGATGGATATATTTTTCGTTTTCAGACGTGCCGGCATTCGTTAAAAGTTTGAACAATCCTTTTTTGTATGACTTGGCAAAAAATTCGCTATCTTACTAGGAACTTAAAGGTGACTTGATTCAATTCAAGGGTAATTCAAGGTTTAATGGTCTAAAAAGCAGTTAAGTTTACAACGACCGTAGGGCGAACGTATATATACAAAGGGACGCAAAAATATGCGTAATGTTTGCTGAGTATCACATGGAGTTAAACAGTTCCAGATTCGGTTTGGATATAAGATATGCATCTAAATTGTTCTTGAAAATGGTTAAACTCGGCGAATGTACAACATTGGGAGGTAGGGAGTTCCAAATGAAACATACACGGACCGCAAAAAAGTTCCGTCGACAGTTCACCCCTCGAGTGAGGTACCGCGCGCGAAAAGTCATGCCTCCTGCCCGTTCGTGGTCGACGTCGGACAAAAAGATTTTCCAGCGGATGATTAGGTGTCTTCAGTATATTATATGTTAGAATTAGGTCTCCCCTGATGCGCCGATAGTAGAAGTCAAATAGGTTGAGACTGGCAATCCTGTCTTCGTATGGTTTATTATGCAATCCAATTGCCAGCTTCGTGGCTCTATGATACATTCGCTGTAGAAGAATTATGTCTTTTTGAAGCCATGGTGACCAAGCTTGTATAGCGTACTCCATGGTTGGTCGGATGTAGGTATTGATTACTCGGGGCAGTGCCAGTCGAGTGAAACGACCAAAAATCCGTTTTAGGAGCGACAGGACTTGTGAGGTCCTCTTGTAGATGGCTGTGCATTGCAAGGAGCTTTTTAAACAGCTGCTAACCCACACGCTCAGATCATTTTCTTACCTAGTCCAAGAAAGTGGTTGTGGACTCAACGTATAGTTATATGCAGAGGGCATACCTACACGGAGCAGTTAAAGGGATCGCTTCCGGTTTTCAAAATCCGGAGTGGAACATGAAGCATTGAACAATTGAAGCACTGACAATTTTGCTTGAGCTGTCCACCAGGACACTTCAAGATTTTTGTCAGATAATCTTAAGACTTTTGATAAGGCATCATTTCAGGAATACCGAAACATGCAAATGCGGTACAGTTACAATGGCAGTGAAACTCAAACGTTTGTGAGTGTACGCTTTTGGACAGAGGGTAATAATATCGATCCAAGCCGATTGTTTAGGGCATCTTCACTCTGCCATATCCAGGCTAATAAGTGAGGCTAACAGTGATTAACTATTTCAACCCCAGCGCTTTAGAGAGAAGTGACAATACCAAAGAGGCTTGGGAGACAATCAATGGATTTATTTCTAGGTGACTTTTTGCTTTTGACAAAATGGTTTCGTCAGACAAACTGAATAATTGACCAGGTTGGCCAAATTTTTATGAGTTAGTCAGTGGGATTTCTTACGACTAGCCGACTTGCTCAGTGCTGGATATCAGTTCAAAGTTCTCGTTTTTTGGTGAGTGTGGATGACACTTAGATTGGTTAGGGAGGCTCGTCTTCAAGTTGAACCCGGATTTTGGAGCCTTGCTTTTTTGGCCTAGGACATTTTAATGAAAAATTCCCCTCGAGTGACGTTCACATATTTTGTTGGTCTGTTAGGGGCAACAGGTACCAGGACGATTTGACTGAAATCGGGGGAGATTAGGTGGATCTAATTATGCTTAGGTTTCATACTTTTAGACCTAGAACATCTGTGTGATAAGTGCACATCGCTCCCTGTCATCTCAGATGATTCAAAACTACTCGACACACGCACGTCAGTTCTATATCCTCTAGTCTGTTCACGCTGGGATGCTGGGCAGTTTTCAAAGCCCAGGTCACCAGTCGATGTGGTGTCCGAAAATTTCACATTCTCCAAATGTCATTGCCTATCGCCTGTTTACACCCCACTTACGCTCACCGATTCTGGTGTACAACCTTCTGGCTATTGGACATTTGTAAACTTTCGTGCAGTTGCTACATTTTATTTCGTCCCTAGTCACATCGGACGGAAGGCGCCCCTTCAACCGCACCCATACTGGGTGCAAAGTTCTCCCATTCTGGAGTGTTACTCTAATGTTAGCCCTATTCAACACTTCCCATGACTCCAGATGTCACTGCTTTGTGTGGGATGACCGCTGTTCCGAGCCATTCCTTGATGGGTCTTAGTGCCACTAGCTGTGTTGGTTGTCTCCTAATTAAACCCACTGGGTATGCGCTGTCCTGAAATCACTTTTAACCTCAAGTCGTGCTGCTGCTTCTCTGTGAACAATGTTTTGATTCTAATGCGTTATATTATACATAGTATATATATATATGCTATTACATTACTGGAACTACACTGGCATTTGCTGATGAGTAGTTTAATATCGCATTACTGTCTGTTGGTTACCGGTAAACAGCCGTGTGTCATGCAGCCTAGGAGGGGAAGTGTACCAGGTGTGAACTCTAGCTCCGTGCTCAAATCAGTGAGGGTACGAAGTGTTGGGATAGTGAAAGACTCTGATAACGTCAACTCGGTTTATCACAGAAAATGTCTTCTACGTAACGTCGGGAAGCCTTTGGCGGACAATCGAATCCGTCTAAAGCTTTCAGACTTCCACGTACACGCTGGCTGAAATGTGGGATATTGGAGATCTCATTGCTAAATCTTGAGAGCATATAACTGAGTCAAAAACGTGACCGAGGTTTAAGCACATTTTGATGCCTTCACCTCTTTCGTATACGGAGTGTTGCGTTCTTTCTTGCAGCATTCTGTCAGCTTTGCCACTTCCAAAGCGTCCGAGGTGACATCAAAACTAAAAAGAACTTCGTCTAGCTCTAACGGAAACCCATCCACTTTTTATTAGCAAAGTCATACTAATTTTGGATGCGTGGATGGCATGCCGGTAAGTGGCTTAAGGACACCCGCCAGAAATACAGGCAGATCATGTGGTAATGAACCTACGTCATCCCCTATTGATGTTACTGGGAACCTTCCAGGCGAACTTTGAGTAGTCCACACAGCCGTGCTTGGGTTGTACTTTTTGGGTGCCATCGATACGGATGAATCATCACCGACTCTAAATACCTTCCACCTTCAACCTAACTCTCATTCATTATACATGAAATCGTCCCCTGCTAATTTATCGGTGGGGCTCAGCAGCCAGGGATTGTCAAGCTTTTGTGATTACTATAATGTCTGCATGTTTCAACGTGTTTAGGGCTCTTCGTTCCGGAGCCTTTGGTTGTCGGAACTTTGATTAACCGTACCCTTAATTTCTCCGCTTCCAAGGTAGGAAGTTTCTAAAACACATACTCACTTCTGCTCTTTTACTTACTGCGAAATTCAACCACTTCTCTGACAGATAAAGTTCTCCTCACTTAAGGGTGATGTGATGAAGTGACTAGGCTGCAACAGCTAATAGATAGCTCCCACTTTCCTATCGATTGACTACAATGGCTGGTCCTCGGAAGCAGTTTTTCGAACTTAGGTATTTGTCTCCTTTGCAGTGCTGACCATGAGATGATTTCCCCTCTGTTGCTTTGGTTTTGAGTAAATCGAAATTCGCGGGTGAACGCTGTTTGAAGGTAGGGGTTGAGATGGCGTACGTGGAGGCGGATAAACAGATAAACGTTTGGTGGTTAGATGAACCTTCTGTTTGAGGAACAACTTACTGTATGATAAAGAACGTGGGGTAGAAGTGAGATACGTATCGGGCGGCCTAACAATTACATATTTGAGGATTATGTTGAGCTTCATGCAAATATTGAAACGTGATGGTTCTCCCAGGTTGCTTTCAACCTCTACAATCGAACATATTCACTTGATAATTTCCGAACACATGGTCCGTTGGTGATTTCAATCAACTGTAATATTTTGGGATCAAGTCAGGGGGTCGTAAAAGGTCTCATTGATTTGTTCTCCATATGTTTTAAATTCGTTCAGTCCGGTAACTTATTTACTTGGCCTGACGAAGGCTCTGTATCAAAAGCAAAACGCCTTTAATTCACCGATTGTTTATCAGATCTCTGAAATGATAATCACTCAATCGATCGCAAACCACTTCCAATTGAGAGGAAGTGATAGTTCATGTAGACCAACAACTAATGAACGCATAAATTAGAAAGTGCACTTAAATAGTTTCGAATGGGTCAGAAGTCCCAAGCACAACGCCAAGTGTTGACTGAACAACAATGGTCCACCCTACGCGGTCAGCCGGGAACATGAATACGACATCTAAGAAGTGACTACCATACTGCTGACCAAGCAAGCTTTTTTGTGGGGCCAAAGGTCTTGATAGCCGCACTTGAAAGCAAAAACGAATCAAGTACAACAAAACAACCGTTCCGTACAAGCGCGATATTTGAAGTACCATCTGGATCGAAAAACGAGACAAGCTTTGCACTGCACTATCTGTTAAATTTCACTACCAACAGGAGACCCGTGCGCGTTCCATTTAGGCATCGCCCGCAAATACGGCATGTTGGGCAAAAGTTATATTAGCTCCTACGTTGGATGGAATTTTGACACAAATTCGGAAACCACAGAGACAAAACCACAAAAAAAGCGAAAGCCACATCCAGCTGCCGGTTAATTTTGATCTTCGCATACTACTTCCAGAGATGAGTAGCTAGAAAGTTTCCAATTCAGAGGGTACGCAAGACGCATCCCATATCACACTATGAGAGTGATGAGTTAGCTATGGTTTTTGCTCAGCGAAGTATCCTATGCGTACCCGTATCAAGAGAATACAAAGTCCTACGGTCGGATTATTGCTGGTGTGTACCAATTACATTATCAACCTACAACCACCCTTTCCCGAGTAGCATGATACCTAGAATCAAATCAATTGCAAAATTTTATTCAGCCGACAATGTATCGACAAAATGAGAGACTGTTTGCTGGTCAATGAGGTCAGCATAAAATCGATCATTTCTGGCAACGGTCTTCGGATGTACCAGATCCGATCCTTCTGTCGAATTCGAGGAATGTCCTGATTTATTGGGGGACCGGATGGTCCATGTTCCTGAGGGAAGACTCAGCAGGTTCGTGCGACGGAACCACTGTACACGCATTCCCTCAAAGTCGAACTCTTCAGTCCTCTTGGAACCGCCACGCCGTTTCGCTCGCACCGGACAGTTGCAACAGCCTACGGTGACGAGAGGTTCCAGGGTATGAATGTAAACCAGCTCCTCTGCGATCAAACTCTCCGGTTCTCCAGACGCCAGTAGTTCACACCGAACTTGCTTCCAACCATTGGAGAACAGTACCAAACGGCTGATCACATCCAGAGTCCAATTGGTGAACAACAGGTTGTTGATCAAAACTGGGGCACAATGGGGTAGTATGACCAAATGATGGCGATTGGGGTCCAACTGGTAACAGGCTTCTTCGTTACGTTGAATAACCTGAAATCGCGAAAAAGGTGAAAATTTTGAGGCAGGCGGGCAGAACGGTGCAAAGTGCTAGATTGAATATAGCTTTACCAGCTGTAAATGACTCGCGAGTTACCTAGGGTATAGTGTCCAGTTAGTTTAATAGTTAATCGTGGGAGACGGTCTATGGTGAGCCCTTTTGGTGCACTTGTTCAATAGAAGCGAGCTGATAGAGAAGGATAAAACAAACGTACCTGTGAGCTGGGATCGAACTGAAGACATGGTGCTTTAGACCGATTAACAGACTCGCAGGATCCAATTCCTGTTTAACCAACGGCCAAACAGCCATAAAAACGGCATTCCGGCTCAGAAGCATTGTTTTTAGCTGTTCGGAATACACAACTCGTTCAGTTCGCAGTTTTCATTTGTGTGTAAACCAAACGGGGAATCAGGACCCATATGGCGCTGTCACTTGAGTGATATAAGATATTTATGCTTTGCACAAAAGCGTAAAAAATCGCACAACGGTGGTTTTAACTGTTAATCACAAAGGAAAACACATCGAAGTTGACGAATATATTGATCCAATTGGTCTGCCGAATAATTTTATCATGTGAATATAATCACTCGCTTATACACCTCAACCAGTTCACGGAACTATAACTTTTTTGAGTTATTCAACTTGTTGGGGCGGTGGCTTACATTATCTCAGTGACAGAAAACCCATCACAGTAATTAGTGGTTAACCGCCATACAACAATGTGGAGGGAATGCTTTGGTAAACGGTGGAAAAGAGAAAAGTAGGGACATAGTGTCAAAAAGTCCAGTGTTCTTGGGAAGACCCTACATGAATAAAGTTCTAACACCTGTGAACATTGCCGAAAACAGCCAAGCATCAAGTCAGGTTAAGGCGTGTGCTAGCATCCATTGCGAACCTCATTCAGCTTGAGTCCAGCTCACAAACTTGTGAGCTCAAGATAGATCAGTGGTCAAGGTGCAAACATATTGGAGAGGTTTGTGGTTCAAACCCGCTTCCCGGCTCCTTGAATCGTTTTATGGTAGCATCCGAGCACTCGTGCTACCCTCCAGTTGAGTATCACCGGTGCGCCAACAGGGTGTCATGGATGGGTGCTTATCGAAAAACGTTATATGGGCACTAGGGCTAGGGAATGACAACATGAACGTCATTGGGACCGGTTGATTACTATGTCCTATAATTTTGCAAATATTTGCAAGGAGGATCTCGTGGACTTGTATCAGTAGGGCTAGAAAATCCCGTAGCGCTCAGTTTGATGGTGACAATTTTCGTTTAACATTGCCTATACTGCATGAACCGTTCGATAATAATGGTTTGGAAGAGAAAATAACGCTTTCCTTGTGCATGCGTAATAACCCAATAATTTTCATACTCTGCACCAACGATTACGATTCGCAAGGTGCACTCAATTACGTGTCATTCGTTGCAACCAGCTAACACTCTTTATGCTAAGCAGACACTGGCGACCAAATGTTCGAAAACCTTTACCGTGTATGGGGTCGGGGATTAAGTTGCACAACCGGAAGAAACTCGATGTTACAGTCGCCTTGTATACACGGCTCAGCTGAATTAGTACCTGACATCATAAATGACTCAATTAGACGAGTGTTGTTTGCGCTCCAAAAATGTGTGTATTGACTTGGACTGTAGCCACGATAAACAGTTGGTGGTTGGTACAAACAGGTGAAAGGTGCTCATTTTCTTTCAGAATAACTACCACCAAGGGATGCCTCTAATGAAATGAAATTCCCTGTTATTATGACTATGTTTGGGCATTTCGTGGTATACAGAAGAATGGGTGGGTAGTTGTTGCCACAGAAGTGCTCGGTATTTCAAACTGTGTTCTTAAAAGTGTGGCCAGTCAATTGGAACGGAACCGCCTGTTTTAATGCATCCGGTTGAGTGAGGAAGCCTTAGCTCGCAAGCTGCAGGTTCGTCAATTCCGGCGCGACCAACTGTAGCAGCTTCAGTGTCACCTCAGGTTCAGATTACGAGTGTGCCATAAGCCTAACTAATGTATATGGATCTTGTATTCGAGTTTCTGCGACGAATCACATAGGGATCCATGAAGTGCCCAGAGTGCACGCGAAAGCAGCTTGCTGAGCGACCCACTAAGAAGATTACACGTTAAAGGATGCAATAAAAAAAGGGGCCTCAATATCGGATGCGTAGATAGAGGTGTGGGCGGTGGCGTGCAATTGGTCGCTTCCCTGGGTGCCTGACTGATTGATCTATAGTTGGGATCTACGGAGGAGCGGTTATCAAGTTATACAAGAAGGAAATCACGAGATAACAATGAAGAAATATGGGAAGCATCAGAAGCCATTTACTCTTCTCTTATCCATCCCACTGTATGTAGGGAATGAGGCGATGCATCTGATGTCACCTACCGAAGGCTGATGTGACTTTACGGCACTTTCACGGCTGTCTGTTGATCGGATACTACCTGGAAAATAACGTCCTTAACCAAAGACTTCGGTTCAAAAGCACGGTAGTTTTGGCAAGATCAACGGAGTAGTTTAAATTTTGAGGAGTATCGCACCTGTTCCAATGCCACATACGGAGGTCTAGGAGGCTGTCTTTCATCCTTCATCTATCCGTTCAACAACTTGGCATGAGGCACTGTGTATATGTATTGTGGACATGTTGTATATTGGGGATATCAGTATCTCCAAAAACCGTTTACTTGTTGAGTTATTGCCGAAGTCATTTTCCAAAATTTTGAATTTTCGTGCCATTTTCAACATGTTGCAAGTTATGCCAAAAGGACTGCGCTTCTCTCGTATTGGTTAGCTGGACTATGTGTGCTAGCAAATTTGTCGTTCCCCAAAATCGTTCAAATTACATACATTCGACGAAGCACTCGCTGTACTTTGCCTCTCTTTGAGGTAGTAAAAGCTCTCCTCCGAAGGTCCGGTCTTCTCTCTGTGCTAATAGTGATTTTACTCGCGCAATAGCCCGTTATTGGCGCGTTTATTCTAAGTCGCACATAGCCGTTGGTCGTACTCCTTCAAATCCTAAGGATTATGACTCAATGAGACACAAAGTGTGGAAACCGTCGGGCCACAATAAGGTATCTCCGGTCAAAAAGCTAAATGTGCTAATAGTGATTTTACTCGCGCAATAGCCCGTTATTGGCGCGTTTATTCTAAGTGGCACATAGCCGTTGGTCGTACTCCTTCAAATCCTAAGGATTATGACTCAATGAGACACAAAGTGTGGAAACCGTCGGGCCACAATAAGGTATCTCCGGTCAAAAAGCTAAATCCTTCCTGCTTCTGCATCTCGCAGTAGAGTCGTTTCCCACCAAAATAAATCGGACAACCGTAGCAGTTGATCTGAAACCACACCGTGGCCATAAGTTTCGAAGTTTGGCGATGAACAGTTCTGTACTTCCTCACAGAACGACAGATCTGTCGCAAGAGGCACTCAGAGTGACAACCGAGGGAGAGAGCAAATAGTCCCCAGTTGGAACAGGAAGTTGTGAACGCAGGGTAGCTGGAAACAACTATGCATGAGGTTGCGTATTGTTTAGATTTCCTTCAAGGTTGTTTCAGCAGTAACCGTTTGTCAGCTGAATTATGGAACGACCTAGCAAATAGACACATCCATCATGGAACCAATATCGAGAGACGCACACAGAATCACGTGTATCAATCAATAACTCACTTTCATACCTAAATGGTGAATGAACTGACGCGATACGGATCTAAAAACTGGGTCGTAGAGTTGTGTGCGGGACCGAGTTAAACGGGGATCTCGTTCAATTAGCAGATCCAATACAGCCAACTGTCGCAAACTTGCACGATCCACAGCGGGATTGCCTAGGCCCAGACAAAGGACATCTATACTATCTCGTTCATCCAGGGGTATGTCACAGAAAGCTTCACGAAGATCAGCTAGTAGCGTGTCCAAAAAGTGAGTGCCGTTATCTGAGTTCAGGAAGTAGGCTCGGGTTGAGGCAAATTTCGATTTCAAAGTTTCGATGTCATCGTCTTCCACAAGGTCAGAAAGTCCCGCTGGAGGTCGGCGGCCATCAGGTCGTTGTGCTGTCGAGCAACGGAGCACGGGTTTTAGTTTAGCACCCGACTTTTCTCGGCGTCTCCTAGTGCAGGCACGCAACCATGGTCCACCATCATCTAACGAGGCATCAGCCAATGTAGATGAGCTGCTACCTACAGTAAGGTCTGCCATCAGGAAATGAGCTGTAAAATATTGACGGCCCTGATCGCGCAGCCGTAGGATTCTGAACCAGCGCTACCAAAAGAAGTCCATCGAATTTCGACTCTGAAAATAGAAACGGACGTACAAGTTCTAGATAACCCGCCAATAAAAAGCATAACTCACATAACCAAAACAGTGACAACTCTGTGGGATAGGACATCATGTAACTCATAATTCATTCCCCTGTTTCTCACATGCGTTTAGCTGCGAAGACATGAGAGCACACCTAAATTTGACCACAGTCACAATGCATTCCCATTTTAAACAAGGTTTAAATCTTACAGAACGGGCAGAGAACAGTGTTGGTGACTGTTAATTACACCCAAAAATGTCGAAATAATGTTGACCCATATAAGGTTCTCACCGAATACATCGTAACGTTACTCGTATTCGATATGTCCATTTTTTTAGATAGGTCCGTTGAGGTGTCCCGTCATCAGTGTTAGATCTTAAAACTTGTTGTGGTAATCCCTACTCCTGAGGAAAGCAAGAAATATTATATGCTTTTCAAAAAGATTAGCGCTTTGACCCCTTAGAGTCCATGACTTCGTTGCCCACTACCCCTCCCTACCCCAAAAGAGGTCATGAATTTAATTGATCGTCAGAAATTACGCAAAACTTGAATGTTCTAACGGACGAACGACAAATTCGAACAACAAATTCATGAACTGCAAACAAAAGCATCTGTAACCTTCGAAAAGTTCAGAAACTGATAAAACCTGTCAACCACTGGTCACAAATATCGTTACTGCTCATTAATTGTTTACCTCAGCTTTTCAGTGTAAGAGGTCCCAGTAGTAGAAACTTCCTGCCCCAAAAAGTTACTGATTTGGCCCTTTGATGAACAGCCAAAATCTGCTTATCGTAAATTATTCACGCACCGCATTTTGCCTTACTGAATGACTTATCGAATACTGCCGGAGCAAGCATAAAAGTTACTTTTCAGGTCGTTAAGATGCAGGTGCGCCGATTGTGCACTATAGTGCAGCCAGACCGCCGGAATGTGACCCTGGGGCTACCTAAACTTACGGCGAAAGCCGTCACTTAAGCGGTAACCACTTTCGTGAGTGCACAACCATTAGGCAGATGAGATTTTGTCTCTCATTGATCATTTTTTCAGTTTCTGAGTACCGCATCGATTGTTCTGAGGATAGTGATGAGTTGAAAGGCGACATGGAAACAAGAAAGAAACCACAAACAGCATTACTGAACTCTGTTCAACCCGCAAAAAAGTTAATAGAGGCAGCAGCCAGATATGATAGGAAAATTAGAGGAATTCAGCACGTGATGCATCGCGTATACTAGTTTCAAGTTATCTACACCTAAATTCACGCCCTCCCGAAGGAGGATCATCTTGCGGGAGAGGTTGGAAAACTCGTTCGTCTTAGGAGCACCTCTGGTCAGATATCACAAAAAAATCAATCCTACCCTTTCGGTGCCCAACTGCCATGCCACCCGAAGGAAGCACGAGGGCTGGGATAGTCATGTTGCCCAAGCCTAGACAGAGGAAGTGGAGAGACAGAGGTCGGGTTTGAACCACGAACCTTCTTGTCAGTAAATCTGCGCTCTAACCAACTCGTCCCCAGATATCATAACTTATCGACTTACTTTCAAAGGGAAGCTTCCTAGCAGACTGTCAAAACCTAAAGTGAGATCGCTAACGTTACAAAATTCTGCCTCGAGATCTAACATTTCTTGGGAGATTACCATCACAAGCAAAGTTATACCTCCCGATAGTAAACGGATCTGGTGCCTTACAAAGTGTCGGGAACACAGGTGTTCTGGTCTCACGGTATGAAACGAACAAATGACAAGTCCTTTTCAATTGTTTCTGCCGTGAAAACTAAGATAGCAATGAGTGAGAATTCTTTCCCATGAACAAGCCATTTAGAAGTTCGTTTCTCACCAAAATACCAACAGAATCAGAGTGACTATTAGGCGTCTTAAGGACTATCCAAGTCCAAGGGTGTCATTACCATCCTCTTTGACTAGATGGTTGTTTCACTCACAAGAAACCTCTTTGGGTCGGTTGCGCGGATCATTCGAAATAGTTTACGCACATTCCTGGAGTTTCCCAGTGATCCATCTCAGCTTTCTGGACCAAGCGAACTTCTAGATCCCGACAGATACTCCTTTTCACCTGAAGCCTGACAGTTCGCCAAGTGGTATTGCGCTCCCGACCAGCAGTATTACGTGTCCAAGCCTCGAGTAAATCTACAGCGTTGCTCAGGATTCAGCGCTCAGAGCTAGTTGGTTGCGCCGCCCCATAACCAGTGCCCACCGCCTTTTAGGGTTGCGGAAAGCATCTTCCAGTAAGAGTCAACATCAGATTTGTCCGAAGGGGGCTTCAATAGGTGGTTTTGGTAGGTTTGCTTCACATAAGGGTTCGAGAACTGCTCAATGGCCAGGCGAGGTATGAGCTCCCGTGAAAAGTGCAACGAACAAGTGCGCAGTCTAGATCCACACAGGTATTCCAGAACGAGCGATAGTCAGTTATTAACGCAAGCCATCTATGACTAATGACGATGTGGTCTACCTGTGACAGATTGACTCGCCTACGGAAAGCACAACGATGCAAAGCGGCTCCGGTTGTTTTGGAGACTATTACCGCACAATTCTACAAGAGGAGTTCGCCGTTTTCTATGTGTCTCGATTCGCGTTCGAGATCACCCCATTGAGCCTCAGCAGGGCTATGTCGTCGTCATCATCATCATCATCATCGCCAGCATGACATCAGTGTTCAACGCCGATGCTTCACTGCCGTAGGGCTAAGTCGTACCTACCGGCGTATTCATAACTTCAAGAACCGTGACAGTATGTGAGCTTTAAGCCCGCTGTAACAAGGCGCCCAAAACGTCGTAAAAACTATCTTAGGGTGTATAGGGGCCACAGTCTGTTGGGACACAATCAGATATGATGACCAGACACCAAGTGTCGATGCGTTTACAGGCAACCTCACAGAAATTTCCAGACGAACGGCAAAAGGTTGGCTACCAAAGGGGAACCATTCGACCAGGGATCCTTCAGATCCGTGGATCATAACAATACCAACCCCAGCAGCAGCGGTTTCTGGATCAACAGAGGTAGGCAAAATGAAGCGAGCGGAAATGGATGGGGAAGCTAGTTCAACAACTGTACTTGAGTCCTGAATCATCCTTTCAGACGCACAGCACGTCTGGAAAGCGATTCCAGTGTACATGCAATTGCAGTCTGTTGTTGGGGCGAGATGGTTCAGTGGTTAGAATGAGAATTTACTGATCGGAAGGTCCATGATTCGAACCAGACCTCTACATCTCGACTTCTGGCTGGGCTCAGGCAACCTGGCAATATCCCAGTCCTCGCACTTCCTTCGGGCGGCATGGCAGCTAGGCACCGAAAGGGTATTATGGCGGAACAATCTATTTCTTTGTTAGTCTGTTGTCCAGCGTGCTTCAGGGCGCGAACGTTAAAGACCGCCAGGTGAACTGAGCGTCGGGGTTTGAAGAATGGTTTCAAAGTGTCTAAGGCCCTGGCAGCAGAATTAATCGTGGATATTACAGCTAATGGTAATGGATGGCGAACGGATCGCAGTCCTTAGGAATGAGCATAGGGCGGCGCGGAGCCTGGAAGAGCGAATCTGGAAGAGAAGGGAAGCGTTTTCATCCACCCGTCCTACTGCATGCAGTGATTTCGAAATTCGTGAAAGAGCATACACATTTTTATTCAACAACCGAATTCATGAGAGATGAAGCTAGTCCAATCGTTTCGAATCCTTATTGCCCGTAGATCTGTTAGTTCATAGTCCAGCACAATCTACTTGAAGCTGCATCGATATGTAATTATGTAATTATATGTAATTATACGGTGGATATGACTAATCGAACTGACAGCGACTTTCCGGAACCCGTGGAGAAGTTCGACAGAAAGGTACCAAACGTTAACTCGTCCGTTAACAAGGTTACCAACGACCCGCTTCAGAGCCCCCGTCAATACTGACGTATCAACTATATTCGGTTTGATGATGGAGACTACTCACTTCGTAATTCTGCCTATAAATGATTATTAAACTTGAAGCGGTTGTTGCCTAACTATCCCATTATCTCCGTTTCCTATAAGGATAAACAGAATAGCACGCTAGCTTTTCGGAACATTCTCAGAAAACGCTAGAATGGGAACTGGCGTTTCACACCAGAGGAATCGGATTGACAACAACCATATTTGACACAGCTTATAAAATACACATATTAAATGAACTGACAAACTGAAGTACGGTGATAATCCGTAGGATAAACCTGAAACCCTATTTGAAATAAACTACAAGTCAGCCCATGCGCTAGTTGATGCGACCAATACCCAAACTGAGCACTTGTAGGACATTAGAAAACCAGAGGTAAATCCCCCTCCTAAATGGAAGATAGTGGAAGTTCGCTCGCAAACAATTGGCCAAAAGAAGCGCCACCAATCCAAGGCTAAGAATGCGAACTCAGATGCCAGCGCATCGGGACACCATGTTGTAGTAAATAATCGGCCAAGTGTTTGGACCGTTAATCACGAGGGATCCGTTGCTTTATGGCTCGAACCTTTCTAAACGCTACGCTGATGAGCTCAATAGAGGTGAAACAACCTTGTTGTAGCTAAAGACAAAATAAAGAGAGACCAATCTGCTGGAGTTGTTGCCCTCTCCGAAATTGTCACAGAACCCATCGGCAAGCCAGATGATGGGATAAAGAACAGTCATAAAGACTCCACTTTGAGACGGTTCAATAAGCGTGGGGGGGAGTCAATGGATACGATACGTACTAGTGAGAGGAGAAAAGCCTTTTGCTGCGAAGTTGTGTTAGCAAACACGAACCAAGCGGTTGCAAGCTATGAGGCACGAAAGTAAAGGTCTCATCTCCATAGCTTTTGAAAAGTGAACATTCTCAAGCATTCTCGTGAACTAAAACGATTATAAACGAACACTGCAAAGCGGCTCCATAATTTCCATAGTAACCTTCACCTTCTGTCAGATACGGGGGCGGAGCCTGGACACCGGGCCACAGACCACTTTCATGCTTCGTCAGTAGTATACACCATCACACTAGCAAAACATCTATTTGTGCTGGGAAGCATACCGCATGCTTGCGCATTCTCTAGGTAGGTGGCCACGTGTAGGATGAGACTCCGTATACCTACACAGCAGAAGCCACCAACTGATAGTGGTTGATACGTGTGCATACAAATGCTCGTCACAAGCAGTGACCCAATCTCCTAGGCTATTAGGGTTTCTACTTATCTTCGCGTAGTTTATATGGCCGGTTCATATGAGGGAATAGGCTGGCGGGACCAACAACGGAGTAATGCAGGCAATATAGTCGGCAATACTGTGAGCATAGGGCTTCTGGGGACATTCTGCTGTTGTCCAAGATCACGCTTCGCACAGTCAAACGCAATTTACAAGGTGGCACGGAAAACGCGAGATTGTGGACATAATCGTCGAATTCAGGTCCAAATTCACATTAACGCGCTCACCGTGAACTACCACCCACAGTTAAGACCAGTTCACTACACTAACCTGGTTTGGCAAACCTTTTCAAGCTATCGTAGGCAACAAATGAGTGCTGGATCTCACTAGGTGGTGCACCTGAGGGGGGATAACAAGCCCACTAGCCTCTGTTATAACGCCTCATGCTTATTGTAAACTGACACACTCGGTAACGAGCGTTTGACGAGGAAACAAGAGGGACCGTTGGTTGGTGCAGTTCCAGTGAGAAGTGAATGCATCCAGGACCAGGAATGCGAAGAGAACTGTATCGCACCACAACGGACATAATTTTGGCTCAAGCGCTTGTTTAAGATCTCTCAGAGTGAATGCACTCGTCAGTGACGAACACCTAGGCAACTCAGGCTCCATTACGAGAATGCTGATATTTGTAGCCCGACTAGTTCATTTGGATTATACTGAACCTGTTCAGAACGGTGGTTTGGCTGGCGGACTGAGATCAAAGCTGAAAGGTACTGAAGGTCATAGAGACCTGCAAGGTAAGTACTTGATATGATAAGTATCCTAAGATGTCCTAAGATGTCGATGGCTGATGAACAGCAGCAGCCGTAAACCGTGTACAGACTATACAGTGGTACCAGCTGTCAGCTTTGTTCAGTTAGGTCATGGGGAACAGGAGGGCATCCCGGGACAGTAGCCGCTTTCATTGAACGGTGAGTTTAAGGACAACAACGGTGGAAAGGTCGAGAGGAAAGGTTTGTATTGGATTAATAGGTTGGCCGCACTGAGCAACCGACTGGACCACAACTGTCAGTGTCTAACTGGTCATGTACAGCGTCTTGGGGTCCCAAACCATGGAAACGGTAATTAAAAAGCCATTTAAGTATGCTAGTTTCTGCTTCAGTGCCAAGTTAGAGCCTCACCGCCCTTCTACAGTTTTCACTCTGCTCGTGGTTGAGCGGAAAAAAGCTCTTCAGGTGAGTTGATCCAGCGGAATATGAACCAAGTAACTAAGTCAGTCCGACCTATGGAGTACCAGCAGCTCATCTACCGTATGTAATTTTAAACAGACCTGGGTAAAAGGCAAAAAATTCACAGTTTACTTTCGGCGAATAATTAACAAGTAATCCATGAAGAGCATTCGAGTGAAACTGTCCAAACCAAGAGACGCAAAACCGAAAGACTAGGGCTGAGTTATGAGCCGGAACCTCTCCGCTGTAGAACGTGTCTTGATCATAAAGCTACTTAGAGTTGGATGAGAAGGGCAAATAAATAAAACATAGATGGCGAGCTTAGTTAATCGCTATTAAAATGCGTTGGCGAGTTTGAGATAGTTCGATGGTTAAGACACCACTTACTGACCGGAAGGTCTGTGATTTGAAACCAACCCTGGCATCTCGATAATCCCTGTTTGAGGCTTGAACAACCTGTCAGTATACAAGCCCTCGTGTTTCTTTCGGGTGGCATGGCAGACTGACAGGACGGTTATCATTAGTTTATTGGTAATATGTTCGCCGGCTGTCGCGTTCTGTATAGTGCTATACTGCCCATATGTTTAAGCACGAACCTCCGCTGTGATGCGCATGCGTTAGACTCCTCCAGCGATACTGATCTGCTTGGTTGTTGGTCTGCTCGCCGAGCTTGGCAGTTGGATTGCAAACTTTTCATCGCTAATCGAGGTGACATCGTCAGTGCAGGGTTGAGTGGGTGAATTATTCCTCTCCTGCCTGTGATTATATAGCTTCTAAACTGTATCTAGTAGCTCTGAAAGCGGCCTTCGCTTTCCTGTGAATCTGACTTGCTGTCAATCTCTTGTGTCTGATTGGTTCGTTGGGCGCATTCAATTCGACACTTCTGTGTCTGGTGTGATTCGGCCGTTTTCTTCTTGATTTGTGGTATTAATTTGTTCCATTGATTGGTTTATTCAGCGGCCTTCTGTTTTTAGCGATTGCCTTCCTTTGGTCCAATTAGTCGGTTGGTTATTCTTAGGTTTCTCGGCTCAGAGTCCCGTGACTGTGCAGTTGTTTTGCTTGTAACGGCTGATAGACTGGGTCAATGTCGATGTGCTTATTATAGCTTTTTGTGTGGAGTACCACGCTTCGGCAAACTCTCGCTGCCGTTTTGTTCTTACGTGAGTAAGTATTTGAACAGTGTCCCAATTGAACTTGTGTCCCCCTCTGTCTTCGTGACATTGGGTCATGTCTTCTGCTGGCAAGCTTGTGCTCGTGTATTCTGGAGGCACGTTTTCTTCCCGTCTGGCCAACAGTGTTTGTCGCAATCGTTACACTTAAGTCCGTAGATCACTTTAGTCTCCTTCAATGCATCCAACCTTCCCTTTGGTTTCAAGAGACTCCTTCTCACTCACTTCTTCTTCACCCACTCAACTATGCACCAACGATGTCACCTCGATTGGTGGTGAAACGTTTGCAATCCAACTGCCGAGCTCGGCGAACAGACCAACAACCAAGCGACGTACCCGAGCTACGTACCTTCAACAACGTTGCCGATACCAATCTGCCAAAGAAACCTGGTTCGACCTGGGTGTACAAATGCATGTGTTGAGTTTGTGCTAAACACAAAGCTGGAGGAACATGCCAGCCACACACACAAAGCCTCATCTTCCTAAACAAACAAGGTTTCCGAGAAGATCAAAAGTGAGAAAGAAGAAACACAAGAGAATGAAAGCTATGTATGTTATGAGGTGTACATGGCGGAAACCGGATACCCAAATCATGAGGTCTGGAAAGTACCGAGGATTCCATGTGAGATTCCTAGCCGAAGCATAGGAAACGTTAATTCATTAAAGTGTTTCTGGTTATGAAAAACACTTATCACGTGATGTAGAGGATCTAGCAAGGCTCAATAAGCATCGCATGGCCTAACCCTCCAGCTGCACAGGCAGCTACCAAAGCCAAGCGTCCACCTTCAGCACGGAGACGGTTAGCCGCCGTCGTGACCAAACGCACCCCAGTGGCACCAAATGGATGTCCAATACTTAGACTGCCACCCCATAAATTCAGTTTGTCCATAGGCAAAGTACCGACTGGCGTGGATCGACCCAGGTAGTTTTTGCAGAAATATTCAGAGTCCAGAGCCTTCAGATTGGCTAGAACTTGCCCGGCAAATGCTTCGTGGATTTCGTACACGTCGATATCTTTCAGTGTGAGGCCGTTTCGGTCCAGCAACCTGCAAAAAAGGTTAGAATGTTTCATTGCAGTTATTAAGCAACAAACGCGATTGTGTTTAAGAGTACTCTAAGCCCTAATTTAAACGTAGCCTGAGTCCAAAAACTATTATAATATGCTTCTTGAGAATGCAAAAGACTTCTTGTTCGGAAGTGAGACACCAGCAATAGAGGCCATGGTGAACAGAAAATCACATCACCTGAGGGCACCAAACAGAAAAGTAGGGAAAATGTTTAATCTGTCCGGGGGACGACCTAGCGTGCTACACACAGTGCCATCCGTTTGTAAGGTCGCGCTTTCCCGTCTGGAACGAACGATGGTATCAGGCTTTCCAACACCATGTGTTTTCTCAACTGCCAGCAAACTTTCACAACATTGATTCCCTAAGAAAACCTCCCAGCCGAACTGATAAACTTCTGCCCCCACGGATTCAATGTTCCCTTTTGTTAAGATGCTACAGAGCAAGGCAACAGACGACAACCTCAAGTTGAGACGTGATCGGATCACAAGGTTGATTGACATATTTCATCATCGACGTCGTCGTCGTGACAGCACTCCAAGCTATTCATTTCCAGAAAACTCGCTAGACGAGATTGCGTAGAAGATCTAGCGATTACGATCCGGACAACACTTGTGATTAAAAATGTCAAATTTTACTTAACCTGGGTGTCAGCTGCACAAAAATACCAGCTTGTCATGAAAGTGAGGCATTCGAAACTCATTAAACCCAATATGCTGATGAGGACACATCATCCGAGATCATCTCTGCAGAATCATACACTAGGTAAAGTTTGTGTGCGGCAAAAGACCCGGGGAGCTGGTTTACAACGCGGTGCTCCCTTCCTGCAATGAGTCCATGTCTGGTGTGATCGGATGGCGCGAAGTGAGCCATATCATTGTTGTTCTAAAAATTAGGAAGCGAACGCTGTGCTTGCACACAAATGCGCCCCAGTGATTGTACGCACGTACGTCCATGTTCATAGGTTAGATGCTTCATCAGTGGAACTACATTAAAAAACACGCCTAAATAAACAAACGTCAGCCTCTCTGAGAAAAAATGACATTAACCAGAACAACCGATCGGAAGCCGGACTCAAGACAGACCGACGCGTGGAGGTCACTTTAGTAATAAAGCATAGTGAGAGATTAGGGTACCAGAACGTCGGTCACACAGAGGGCTGCACCTGAAATGCTATTCAGAATTTACCTGAAAAACCTAAGACAGCACATGTTTGACCTACCGCGTAATTGCATAAGCTGGTCCAAGCAGCAGTTGGTCCTTCGGATCCTGACTTATATAGACATGATCACGAAGGTATGCCTTTGGGGTCCAACCCATTGCTTTGGCTCGTTCACTAGTGGTAATCAGACAAGCAGAGGCACCATCAGTCAAGAAGCTGGCATTCCCTGCTGTAATCGTTCCATGGGGTTTGACAAAAGCAGGTTTCAACTTGGCCATCACATCTGGAGTGGAGGGACGAATTCCATTATCCTGAAACACAAATTTCGAAATTCTATGGATATCCAGTAGGTGAGATGAACCATTGAGTTGTGCCTAAAATACCGAAATCACTCAAAGCAATTGTAAAGGGTATACTTTCCTCGATTTTTTCGATCCTATGGCGTCCAACAAAATTCGCTACTGAATGTATGACCAACTGAACTAAGTGGGAAGAAAGATCACTGAAAGATCGAACTGGCAAAATTTTGTTCAAATTTTGTAGGATGTTCATTGACATGTCCTTCAAGGCCTTTAATCATTTTACCTACAGTGAAGGAAGACTCTGTTTGACCTCATCATCACACTCCATACCGTTTCCTGAGGGTTTATCTCAGTATGCGGATCAGTCGAGTAGTAAAGTACGTTGACACACTATCCACGGCTTCATCAAGTGAACAGCATAAGTCACGCAACTGCCAACGGGTAATGCTCTCCCCCTAGCTCGACCGTAGTGGAGCAATGGAAGGAGCCAATAATTAAGTGCACTGATGCAGGAGCCGGTCGAGCCAGTCTTGTACGGACAGAACGAACCTTTCTCCCAAATAATGGAAACATTTGTTATTACGGCTTTCCAGTTACAAAAATAACGGGCTCAGCTTTAGTAACCAGTTCAGCATTCACGGATTTTCCCCACTACTGATATCGGAAGAAGTAATCTTGCTCCAAACTGCTTCTGCATCGACCTGAAGTTGTGTGCCCATGTCCAATCCCAAGTTAACCTAGATTTTAACGTCCAGACAACTCATTCACCACACAGTCAAATGCATGATTCAGCACTCCGTCAGGTACTTTTTTGCCCTTAACATCGGAGCCTATAGGAATAGCGTTCAGAAGTATTGGTCGTGAAATCGTTAAGCCTATTGTTGATTCTGGTGTTCCCGTATTTCAGGACCCAACCCAATACGTGAGCATTCACGTGATATTTTGCTCTTTGCTCACATACACGGTTGCCTTGATTACATCTGAAGCACAGGTCATCAGAAACTGATCATTATAACCAACAAAGAGTAGTACTTATGTCGAGAGCAGCTCACGGTTGGTAATGAGTCCGATCACTGAGGTAGCCTCAGTGGAATCCCGCACATTGTACGGACAAAAAAGACGGGTAGAGTGTGAATAAGACGCGAAGCAATAAACCGACCTGCTCGATATAAGTAGCTGAACCAGGAACTTTCACCGGAACAATGTCGGACAAAAGGCCCTCGTCAGCCGCCTTTCGAGCCAGTCGATGGGTCCTCATTGCGTAGTCATCTTGTTCCTGCCGAGAAACGCGAAAAGCAGCAGCCAGTCTGTCTGCAGAATGTCCCATAGACTCCTGCGTAGAGAATTCGGCGACAGCTGGAAGTTCAGGTGTCCAAGCTTTCAAACTGAGTAATTTGCTTCCCAGAACAAGACGTTGTTGTAAGGTTTTCGCCTAAATGTTGGGAAAAGGGAAGGAACAACCTTTCGTCCTTGATATCCAGTAATTAAGCGAAGCGGTGAAGACGAACTTCATGGGATGACAACGATACGAAATAACTCGAGAATGAAGCTGACTTCCGATTGTGGTACATGCCTTCACCTGCACCACAACCACCTTCAGATGAGCATGTCTATCTAAATTACCGCTTAATCTGTCTTCCCGGAGAAATTCGTGATTCAAGTGATCAAATACGGAACAAAATGTGGTGAAAGACGGATGGTGCTCCAAGTATATGCAACACGAAGAACGATTAGAGCCAGAAAAAATACCATAGTTGTCATGATGACGCGACAATTACGAACTTTGAACAACTTTACAACTTTGAACTAACCAGCTCACCGTAAAACAATCGGCCCAAATGGGCTAAAAAAACGTATCCGACAAGGTTTTCCACAAATTTTCAGAGAACTCGTTAGCCGAGTACAGCGGCTTAGAAAAGATACATAGAGTCAAAGTATACAGAATAGGAATAAACACTCGAAAGATTTGGGAATAAGAGAAAATTTCAGGAAAAAAAGAAATGGGGTTCTTTAACATCAGTTCTTGTGAACATGCCTGACAGCAACATACGAGCCTAATAAGGGGATAGGTGCTTTTGTGTTCGTGGCCTGGCAGAAAAAGCTATTCGGGGAAGTTGGTAGACTCGCATACGAAGCACATGGCCACGCCTGCACAACCAACGGAGTCATCGTCAGAGAGACCGACATAAATATTGACATAGATGATTCACTGCCATACAACCACAGTCCGTCTAATTATACTTCAAGAAACTGAATGAAAAAAAAGAGTGGTTAAAGAAGGGGACCGAGTGCTGGACTATGTCAACCATTCACAAACTACACCTCCAATCGCTCAATCATAAAATCTAGAAAGAAACTGAGAGTATAAACACCACTGAAATCGACAGGCCACCATTTCTTGCAATATCCCCAAACAGGCGCAAGAGGGGTCACGCGGATCCCTTTCTGGAAGGCGTACTGCTCCAACAACACCAAAACTCTTCGCAATCTCTTTCACACCCTTATGCCAAGTAGTAAATTGTCCACCTCGTAGTTTCCGCCATTCTGAAGGAGGCGTAGAGAACAACATTCGTTTCGGTAGATAGTGTTTCGGCATGCGTAGAACATGGCCGAACCATTGTAGTCGACGGTGCTGGATGTTTTCCGCAAATGGAGCACCTGCTGCACAACGAAATACCCGTTCTCTAATCACCTCGTTACTGATCCGCTGATGCCATCCAAAACCAGAAACACTTCTGATATATTGATGGTCAAAAACCTGAAAACGCCTAACATCATCCGTCCGCAGAGGTCGTTTCACAACCATACAACACAGCTCTTACTATAGCCTGGTACAGGCGACCTTTGTGACCCAATGATACCTTTTTGAAGCCACAAGTGATGCAAATTAACAAACTTGATTCGGACCTTCGAGATTCGTGCACTGACTTCATCACACACACTTTCATCGGAGCTAATACACTAACCGAGGTATGTAAAATTCTCCACAACCTCCGATGACCCTCCCTGAATTCTAAGGAGTATGCTCGGAGAACGTACGTTCTGAAGCATAACTTCGCACTTCGAAGGCGCTAGGCGCGTGCCCAAAGATGGTATTATGGTGGTCAGTTTATTCAAAAGAGCTTGTGCTGCTCCTTCGTCTTCAAAGATGAGGGCGACGTAGTCTGCGTACTCCAGATCGACAAGGTTCTCACCAAAATACACGGGGTTTTAAGACCTTTCAGCGTTCGCCCCATTATTTCAAATGTGACGAAGCTGAACAACAACAGAGGGTGGACGACCTTGTTGTACCTCATTTTTTGTAGGAAGGCTTCTGGAGAGTTCACTATACACTCTCACAAGCCCAGATGTACGTGAATATGGAGATAGGATTATGTCCACAAACTTTTGGGACATATCCTCTTAAATAAGTGTGGTCAACAGCACCGACCGATCGACAAAACCGAACGCATTCTTAAAGTCGAGATGGCTCAAGGGGTTAGAGCGCGAATTTACTGACTGGAAGGTCCGTGGTTCGAACCCGACCTCTGCCACTCGACTTCGCCTGTCTATGCTTGGGCGACCTGGCAGTATCCCAGTCATTGTGCCTCCTTGGTCTGGCATGGCAGCATTCTTGAAGTCAAGTCGTCTGTACATATGGCTTTGGTCTGACGGAGTGAGGTGTGGTCAACGCAGCCTCTACCCGGTCAAAATCCCTCTCGATTCTCACAAGTCAAAGTTTCGCGTGCAACCGTAAGCCGACGGAGAACTAGTGACACCAGAAGCCTTGTTACAACAGAAGATAAACTTATACCTATTTGGTTATTACATTTCATTCGAAGACCCTTTTTGAAAACGGGCACTATTATCGACTCAACCCACTTATCTGGAACGGTTTCTTTGTCCCAGATAGACGCAAACAGGCTAGCCAGGCACTGACTGAGGAATTCACCGCCATCCTTAAACAGACAAGGTGGACGGTAATCATGACCAGTAGCACGATGACACCCGAGCAGAGATACACATTCGGATACTTCAGAGGTTGAAGACGGCTCCGTAATCACAGTCCACCTTTCTGTTGAAGGCAAGGATTCCGGACTGAAGGTATTAGGTGGCCAACCGAATTGCTGTTTGAAGTGCGGTGTCCAGCGATCCAAACGTTCAGCTTTGCTGGATATCAGAGAAACATCCTGGTTCCTGATTCACTCGTCAACAAGAGGGTAACAAGGGCCGATCAAACGAATCAAGTGGGACAGCTTGCGGACTTTTCAAGCATTTTCGCATCTTCCACTTCTTCCGCCTCTCGAGTCCACCAACCTTCTGTCTGCAGGACACAGCTTCACCTAGCGTCGGATGATGCGACGGATTGAATTGTGGTTGCCGTCAAGGGGAATCCGTCGCCTGGCATCCAGCAGAGACATGTACCTATCAGAGATCCCATGTTTGGACGAGGTTGGCTGAGTTGCACCGCAAACATAAGTTCCCGCTTTGGATATTTTTTACCAATAGCAGCCGTCCTCCGAATGTCCGGCAGGCGTTCGAGGAGCCGGGGCTCACTAGATTCTCAATGGTTAAGCGAGGTGTGCGCGTTTTGAGCAGACATGAAAAGCAACAGCGTACGAGTGCACGCTCAAAGTTCACGTCGGTGTTCCAGAAGAAGCTGGAGGCAGTGATCGACCCTCGCCACCGCTAACTGATGGGCGATGTGGTCTATTTGGATTGAGGGTTGGTTCGTTGGTGGGCACCGCGTTGCCAAGCCATGTCCGCTGTTCCGGAAATCGGTACTGCAAAAAAAACGCCTGTGATCGGCACATATCTCAAACACGCGGTCTCCATTGTCCGTGCATCTCAGGTCCGATACAACAAGACCACCCAACCGGGCATTGACCGCCCTTAGTCTCCCTACCTGTGTCTTCATATCACAAAGATGTCTAAGCTTTTAGTCCGTTATAAAAGAACACCTATAGCGCCATTGAAACTGTTTTCGGAAGATTCAGAGCTACAGTCAGTTGGGTCGTAAGCAGATACGATAAACAGTGTACTATGTGTTTCCATCTTCTCGATATTCTTATAGATGTCACCACATGAACCTCACAGAGGTGACTAATAACTGCTATCCAATCAAGTGGAGGATCACTGAACACAATACCCACCCGAGAATATATCTAGCTGCAGCATTCTCCACATCACCAGTTACACTAAATAGACAATAGCTCAGGTGTAACATCTTGGTGCCCAGCTTCTATGCATCCTCACAGGAGGCACCGCCGCTGAGATACTGCCAGTAGCAGTCAAGATGCCGGGGTTCGGTTCGAAACACGATCAGTAAGTCCACGCTCTAACCAATGGGGATTCTCAAGCTCTATCACCACAAATGGGCGACTGGAGCCTGGGAGACAAGGGGACAGTTTGTTCAATTACAGCACTTGCACCCTGTGTCCTTGTTTCTGACAAGCAAAATGCATCAATCCAGACAGTATCCAGTGAACGAGAAACACCCACCTGTAGTCCTCCTTGCTCTAGTGTGTGAACATTAAGGGCAGCTAAGTATACGAGCTTTCAGGACAGATTTCGAACTGCTCAGGATTGTTACGGAAGTCAGACATACAGAAGCTGCAGCTGAGTGCGATTCACGGTGAGCAAAGCGGTAAATCCTAGTGCTTGGACCCGCGGAAAAAGTACTTAAACTTGGCAGGCGTAGGTTAGACGAGGAAGGGCCTGAAAGTATGGGAAGGGAGGCATCATCAGTCATCATCAAAGACAACAACATCACTGCTGGGACTGATGCTTCACTGCCGTACTCAGTAGCACGTTTTTGCTTGCCTGCCCTGCCGTATGCAGCAAGGCAGCCAGGTTGGTGACACCACGCGACGGCTGATGGGGCATGAGAGCATTTTTATTGGGTATTATGGTTATACATGAGGTCGGATACTGCAAGACCAAAGCCTTTGGCAAGTGTTCCAACCCCCAACCTGGAAAGTCAGGAGACTGCTGGTCAGACCTCTGACAATTGACCAACCGGACATAAGAATATGTGAGAGTCGCATGAACACCTCCGGTGGGTCACCGACACACACACCGTCATACCATGGTAAGGTCTCGTCTCTTCATGGCGGTACAGTGGTTCCAGCTAACAATGCCCTTCCTTGAGGATACGAGTAAAAGAGTGATAATCGTGCTTTGGAGGCCGTCACGTCGATCTGTCCATGACCATAAAAACGAAAGAACACCGTAGTGCACACAAGGGCGCAAACTAAATCCATGCCGGTGCCTCAGTATCACAGACAGCCCTGTAAGAAGTTTACCCAAGAACAGCTTGCGCCGACGTTGTTACTGTGTCACCCTCAGAACTGACGATGGTGGGCACCAGGATGCCTCTTCATTAGCCGAAAGTTTAGGCTCGATAAGAGGCGACGGTCGGAACGCACGTGTAGGAGCAGTCCGCATTGCTATTTCCTCGCATACCAGAGCCTACTATACCCACACGAGCAATGAGGTCGCCAGCCAGTACCGTCAGATTCATTTGTGGTAAACTTAGTGGGTTGTTCAAATGGGTGTAGTCATCTTTGGCTGTGTGGAAATTATAGTCGGTTGGCGCATGCCCAGCGACGACGAACAGGAGGTACTTGGTTCTCTTCTTACGTTCGTCTCTATGGGGCCCGCTCATCTCATTGCCCACAACCTGTTTTTAAGAAGAAAGAAACTGTAAAAAACCATCACCTGATTTTGTTTTTGCATGCAAATAGATATTGTTCCGATTTGCATACAGGTAGTATTAGTGAGGCTATTTTAGCGGGTGAAGACTCAGCATTATCGTCTCCAGCACTTACGACCTCCTTATGGTCCGTAGAGTTATTCATTCGCAACGAATTTGTGCACATTGCTTGTTTTCCTTTCTAATATCCCGGCGACGCCAAGGAATTCCTATCTATGATGGGAAATTCAAAAGTTTAAGTAAATTGATTCAATTTCTATCGGGCCGATGGATCGAACTCGGATGCTAATTTTTCCTCAACCCACTGTTTCACAAATTCAAATAATACAGAATTCGACGGAAAGAGCGACGTGTGACGCGAACTTTCTAGCACAAGTGTACAAATTGGTTATCTTCTCTGTCTGCAAGTCTTCTAAGGGTCTGCCTCTGTACGTTAAATTCGCTTGATGAGCGTGGTTCTTCCATAGTTGGTAAGTGAACCAAACCTCTTGCATACTGACAACTTCAAATCCCGAAACTCTGATGTTAGTGGGCTTTAAATGGGTACCATGGAAAACCATGGGATAAAGGTTTTCACGTATCATCTCGTGAAGTCCGAAGACAACTTCGTGACACACGATCAGAAGAGACATCGAGTGGTATATAGGTTCGGATACCAGAAAAGGCTTTGGGTAACTGGCTGTCTTCCAAAATGTATCTTCATTCCACCAAACAAAAAACTGCACGCAAAGCGTAAACTGCAATGGATACCAAACATTGTTGAATGAGCAGCCGCGAAATCCATGAAGTTATTGTGTGTATGTCCGGCTTCTAATGAAGCATAATACCCAGTCACGGATCAGGGGCCAAAGAACAACTGTATTGAGTTCTTATGTGCAGTTACAGAAACGGCCCTCGATCTCCGTCCATGGATACTAAGCCTCCACCCGTTGAACTTCCAGTGCCCGCGCGGTGCCTCAACAGTAATCTAATCACACTAACAAAATGGCTGGGCGTCTTTCTCACTGTTTAAATCCATCAGAATAGACGGTGATATGGAAGGACAGAGCTTTGCGTCGCGGATGGTGCGTGTCACCCGTGCATGACCGTCACGAAGAGACTGGACCTTACCTGCGTGTCACCCATGACCGTCACGAAGAGACTGGACCTTACCGTGGTGTAACGGTTTACGCACCTCAGCGATCCATTGAGCTATACTGGAGGGAGAGTCGCGACACTCAGAGTCTCTCATGTTATATACTGACGTTGTGTTTAACTTTTTTACTCGCTATTCGTTGAGCTAATTGTGTTCCTAATGTTTTAGCTGATGTGCTGAAATTGATAGAAGATTAAAGCCAATCATTCGGTAATCCTCGTTCTCTGTTTCTGGCACAATCATTCGAGTGCGCAACAATTTAATCTTCTATCAAAACACAATGGAACGATTGTTTCGCCCAGATCGGTTTGACGCCGATCCCCAATCCTCTTCTGCTTCAGAACAATGGAGCCATTGGCACGAAACGTTTACGAACTTCCTCTCATGCATCGAACTCCCAAACGTTGACAAAAGAAAACTTTTGGTAAATTTCCTTTCTCCGTCCGTCTATCAACATGTTTGTGATTGTACTACTTACGAAGACGCCATCCAGATGCTCGAAAAGATGTACATTAAACCCAAAAATGAAGTGTTTTCCCGCCACGTGCTGGATACTACCAAACAAGAACCGGGCCAATTAGTCGACGCGTTCCTGCAAAAATTACGTTACCTTGCCAAGGACTGCAATTTTCGTGCGGTTTCTGCCGATGAACATCGGGATGAGGCTATTCGAGACGCTTTTATCACAGGCTTGCAGTCTAATTCCGTTCGCCAACGACTACTAGAAAAACACACTCTTAAGCTTCAACAAGCTTTTGACGAGGCACGTCTGCTTGAACATGCTCAACAACAGTCACTCTCATACGACTCGTCTTCTCATGTTCCCTGTGGCGCCGCATCTATCAAAACTGATAA